AGCTGGAATGAGGTTCTGATGAGCCTTGTTTATCATTGTTAATGGCTGCCCTTGATTGACTACCCATCACCTGATATTAAATATCCTAAAAAGATATTTTGCTAGGCTGAGGCATGAACAGACTCGTGGAATCTAAGATGTTCACTATAAGCTTTTTAGGAAGTTAACAACACTGTCCAATCCCCTTTTCCCAGATGGAAATGAGAACCCACAATAATCRTACAGGCTTATGATTCCATGGAATCCATCCTCAAGGTGGTACCAGGTCACTCGAACCCCGTTGTCCTCCAGCCTCTTCTTGTACAACAAGCCATCGTCCCGCAGCACATCATATTCACAGGTCAGGATGAAAGATTCTGGCAGCTGGTGAACAACAGAGTCTTCAGCCAGCAGTGGGCACAGGTTGGGCTCACAGAATCTCTTCACYGTCTCATAAACTTCAGCTATAAAATCAGTTGGCCTAAGTGGTTTCACACCTCTGACCTTAAATTCCTCAGGGATGTTGTCTGGACTCACCCACTTCCTATACTTCAGCCTCATGTCTGGAGGAATATGAGAGCCCTCCAAGACCTCTTGCATGTGCAGTGCATCYCCCTTGAGGTACAGCAAAGCAAAGAAAGCAGCACGTTCCCGGAATAACAGAGGGACTCCCCGATTTTGATGGTATGATGGCAAATTGAAGTCCAGTGCCTGAAGGCCTGGGTAGATGAGGATCTGAGCACGGAGTTTGGGCTGCTCTGAGCTGCCTGCCAGGGTCTGGCTCACAGCAGCTGCCAGGTTGCCCCCAGCACTGTCCCCACAGACAATGACCCGGGCAGGATCCACGCCATAGAGCTCCAGGTGCTGCAGGAAGTGCTGGGTGGCRTTCAGACAGTCTTCRTACGCAGCGGGGTATTTGTGCTCAGGGGCTAAACGGTACCTGGGATGCAGAGAGACAAGTGGARGAGAAGGAAAYATCAGTAGTAGTAATCAGGAAATGATCTCGTATGCTGCTCTTCAGCCCTATCATTTTGGGGTGGTTTTGCTCTAGGTGAGGATTTCCAGGGCCTCCAAGCAGACACTCCTCAGTTTGGGATTGCAGGTAAGCTGCAAATGGTGCGTCCAGCTATGAGGACTCACTGARGTAGGATTGTCTCTGATTAATCTTGGCCTGACCAAGGAATTGTACAGTGACCCTGAAAACTCCCTCTGTACTCATCACAAGACTATTTAATAATTCTGTGCCTCTGCTTCCTATGTGTAAAATGGGAACATTTCAGTGTGATTATTCACTTTTCGCATGGTTCCCAATTGCTTAGAACATCTTATTACATGTCCGTATGTTCAGTACAAGGAAGCCTTTTTTCACCTRAGTTTTTAATTGGCTTTGATAGACTTCCTTAGTGTGCCAAATGTTTCCATTTATACCTTTTCTGAGTATCTCTTAATGAACAGTTAAGGGCTGTGAAATCTCCATTATCACTATTTGCCTCTTTATGGACTTCACTGAATTCCACAGAAATTCCTCTGCCGGAAAGAAACATCACCAAAACCAGCACAGCCCTGCTATGGTACCACAGCAACAATAATATTCCAACAAGAAAACTGGTTAGGGTTCACTTACTGCACAGACACAACTACCGAGTCACTCTCCCTGGAGAGGTAGCGACACACCTTTTCATAGGTATCTGCAAAAGAAATATTGTCATTAGTGCTTTGCTATTGCCCCCAGCTTTGAGACAGCCTAAGGAATATCCATTCCAGAAAGGCTTCAGACTTCCTCCCAWATCACATGCTGAAACTTCATCTTATTTCAATTTTCTATAAAGATGAGAATGTTCTTTCTACACTACTACAGTTCCTTGAGGAATTATCTTACCAAGGCTTCCAAATACCCAGCCTCCTCCATGGAAGAAGAGGATGCCTCTCCTTGGCCCATCAGAGGCAGCTTTAGGCTGATAAACCCTCACAGGTACTCCATTAAACTGCAGATCCTGGATAAAGAGCTTTGGATCCAGCCCTAGTTTCCGTCCCTGTCGCACGTATCGGCCAAAAGTGATTTGACTGCAAAGCCCAGTCTTCTCCAAAATCCTTCCCTGTTATAGGTAAAAGAAATTATGACATCTTTAAAAGTCTGGAGTTAGCCAGGGTATAAAAACTCTGTATTGTACTTAGATCAAACTGCAGTTGGGGGAAATTTTAAACAAACACAGAGCTCTGATTCAGAAGTAAAACAGTTTTTCCAAGCTTTCACATGCTACAGTATGTAAAAAAATTACTTGCTCTACTCAAATCCAATGTCATTTGTAATATCACATCAGAAATGTTATAAAGATCAGCCAAATTGGTTGTCTTAGGGTACCTAATCATCAGCATTGTTCTGCATGTATTTGTGGTCATTCTTGTTTCATTTATACTTGATCACAACAATGAAATAGCATTTGTAGAAACATTCATTCATTGCAAAAAAAAATTAATATTCATGAATTAGACCATAAAAATCAAATTTGCAAATCTAAAGTGCCAAGCTGAGTTGCGCAAGTTAGTTACTGTTTTTTATTTGCACAACAGATCCACTAAGGAAAATGAAGTCGCTTTCTTTCCCAATGCTCTTGCAAGCTAAATTATAAATCTGATGTAATAAAGTGAACAAACAAGAAGCTGGGAATCAAACAGTTAGACTTGACTGGCACAACAAGATTCCTTTTTTTTAATGCCCAGTGAGTCTGTCTTGTCACCAGCTAGTGGGGTTCAGGATTGCTGGGCAGCTTAGTCRGTAAATTTAAAGAGGATATAAATGGTTTAAGAATCTGTGAGAAGGAGAACAAAGTCTGTGTGATAGCAGGGGTGATGTTGTGGCTAAAGGAGTGACAAAGCTGAAGATTTTAAGACATTCAAATACAGCAAGTAACAGAGACAGAGGTAGAGAGAGTTCTAATGCCGTTTATGCAACGCTGCCAAAGGGAGTCCAGGGATTAAGTAAAGCAGCCCTAACCGGATTGTGTGCCATAAATGTCAGCCGCRGCAGGAGCAGCTGAAGGACCGCAGCTTTCCTTGAGCAAGGTGATTTCGCCTGAAGGTGCGGGCAGTTACCAGGCAGAACACCAGCCCAGCCCTGAATTCGGGGCTGCCATCAGCCGCTCGCATCTCCGCAAACACGCCCCAGCACGTTCGTGAACCGGGAACGGGCTTTGCCCGCGACACGGGCAGGCTCCCCGGGGCAGTGTCCGCACCGAGGGCGTCCGGAACAGCATCCTCGGCCGGGRGTAGCTCGGGGCAGTGTTTGGACCGGCGGTGCCCGGGGCAGCATCCTCGACCGGGGGATATGGAGGGCAGTGTCCGGACCGGGGGGTATCCCGGGGCAGAACCCCAGCGGGGRCTGCTCCCCGCATGCCCTCCCCGTAATGCGGCACGGCCAGCATCCCACGGGGACAGCGGGGACACGCAGCCCCCAGAACCCCGCGTTCATGCAGCCGCTGCTCCCCTCCCCAGCCCGCGGGTCCCCCCAAAGGCCCCTCGCCCCCCGCACCGCCACTCACCAGCGCGGCGGTGCCCAGCAGCACGGTCAGCACCAGGCGCAGCTTGGCCGGCTGGTTCACCCCGGGCGGGATGTCGTAGCTGGGCAGGCCGAGCAGCACCGCGGCCGCCGCCAGCGCCGCCAGGGGCAGGAGCAGCAGCAGCAGCGCGGGCAGCAGCGCCATGGCCCGGCCGCGGCCCCGCGGGGCTCCCCCGGCAGCGCTCGGCAGAGCCGCGGCCCCGTCACGGGCCGAGTGCGGCCGCTCCGCAAAGCCGGCGCAGGGGTCATGGTGCGGGCGGCCGGGGGGAGCCGCGCGGAGCGGCCGGAGGCGCCGGCCGGGTAATCTCGGTTCAAGGAGGCCCGGCGTGACCTGCGCGCGGTACCGGGGAACGGCCGGGCCCGGCGCCGCCTCCCGCTGCCCGGGGCTGCCACGGTCCCCGCGCCCCCGGCCGCCGCACCGCGCTCTCTCTGCCTTCCGTGCCGCGATTCTCTGCCTGCGGCAGCGTGGAGGAAGGGCTGCAGGGAAATCTAAGGGGAGTCAGTGTTTGTTTTTTGTAAAGTGTTCRGATTCCCTCAGTCCTGTGGGATTTTTTTTTTCCTGAGGATTTCCTTAGAGCGAGGAGCAATCGGCATAAACTAAAACACAAGTTTCTCCTCAACATGCGGAAGAACTTCTTTACACTGAGGGCGGCAGAGCACTGGGACAKGTGCCCAGGGAGGGTGTGGAGTTTCCCTCTCTGGAGACATTCCAAGCGCACCTGGATGTGTTCCTGTGTCACCTGCTCCAGRTGAGCCTGCCTTGGTGAGGGATTGGACTGGATGATCTCCAGAGGTCACTCCCAAACCTAAGGATTCTGTGATTTCCATGTCCTCAGTCTGGCTGTTCTGAGTGTGCTCATTGCTGTTCTTCCTTGCTTTCATCAGCAGGGTGTAATGAAGCACCGTGTCAAGGAATACACTGCCTCATCCTGTAAATAAAACTCAAGCCATGGAGAAACCACAAATTGAYAAATTCTAGTACACAATCACAGCACAGATTCTGAAACAGTTAATACTGGGGAACATCCATTGGAAGAACATGAAAGTATTTTGCTTCATATTCTCTCTCTCTAAGCTGTCCCTTTCAGTACACACAGACTAAGAGTCCAGTTCACTGATCCTTCCTGTCTTTCTAAAACCTGATGTCAGCATTTCCTCTCAACAGTACCTCCACCCCTCAGTTGGCATAGTGGAGGCTTTCCAAAATGAAAAAGGATTTGTAGAGCTACAATTAGTTCAAAATCACAGCGCCTTTACTTGCCTTCAGCAAGGTGTCCYCTATCAACTTTGGTCTTATACTGCTACTTTTGCAGCCATGGAACAYTTGCCCAATCTCTTCATTGAGTTCTTGATCTCTGCCTATTTCTCCAGAGCTTTCCTCTAACTCATCCCTCCAGCTCACTATCTACCTAGCTTGTACATTTTAGCTAAATAAAGTCATGCTTTGGAGCTTATCAAATGGACATCACAAAGATTGTGGCTGTATTGAATAGCATTTAATCCAAATCATTTCACATAGATTATTTGTACAAGGTAAATAATTTAGTAATTAAAGACAAGGAATCAATCATATGCCAATTAGAAAAAAACACAGCACATAGAAAAACTGCAAAGATTGAACCRTCAAGAGTCTCATGAGGAAAAGAGCTGTGTTAATTTGAAGTTCATGGATATCAGAATTAGTATTTTACACATCAAAGGGTGTCACATTCTTGCTGACCAGCATTACCCAAAGTTTGGGAGCCTAAGCAGAGACATTAGTGGGAGAAACAAAAAGAGGGAGAGTTCTTTTTACAGGCCTTTTATAAATGCAACTACTCTGTCCAATCCCCTTTTCCCAGCTGGAAATGACAGATTACCATAATCAAACAGATTTATAATTCCATGGAAYCCATCCTCAAGGTGGTACCAGGTCACTGGAAYCCCGTTGTCCTCCAGCCTCTTCTTGTACAACAAGCCATCGTCCCGCAGTACATCATATTCACAGGTCAGGATGAAAGATTCTGGCAGCTGCTGAATAACTSTGTCTTCAGCGAACAGTGGGCACAGAGTAGGCTCACGGATACTTGTCACTTCCTCAAAAATTTCAGGCTTGTATTCACAGGGCTGGTGTGGTTTGTAGCCTCTGACCTTAAATTCCTCAGGGATATTATCTGGATTCACCCACTTCCTATACTTCAGCCTCATGTCTGGAGGAACATGAGAGCCCTCCAAGACCTCTTGAATGTTTGATGCATCCCCTCGTACGTACTGCAAAGAGTAGTAAATAGCGCGTTGCCGAAGTAACAGAGGGACTCCCTGATTTTGTTGATAGGATGGCAAATTGAAGTCCAGTGCCTGAAGGCCTGGGTAGATGAGGATCTGAGCACGGAGTTTGGGCTGCTCTGAGCTGCCTGCCAGGGTCTGGCTCACAGCAGCTGCCAGGTTGCCCCCAGCRCTGTCCCCACAGACAATGAYCYGGGCAGRATCCACRCCATAGAGCTCCAGGTGCTGCAGGAAGTGCTGGGTGGCGTTCAGACAGTCTTCRTASGCAGCGGGGTATTTGTGCTCAGGGGCTAAACGGTACCTGGGACACAGAGAGATAACAAAAATAACAGAAGGAAAAGCCGTAAGTGTAAATACAACGTTTCTACAGCACCCTGGTTTTCCCTGTGTTGGAATACATTTTCCCTCAGATAAAACCCCATAAAGGTATCTGTACAGAAGCGCTAAACAGGTAGTTGTCCAGTGAGTCATCACAGAGAAGTGACAGCCATAGGATGAGGCTGAAAGGATATAGCGTAGTTGGGATATTCTGAGAGCAGTCCTCATCACAATTTAAGTGATGYAACTTCATTTTTCACTTCTGGTGTAGACTGCATCTGGCCTGTGGATTAAGTAATTTAATCAATCTGCACCTCACCTTTACTTTGGATATTTCACGCTGAGAATTATTTTTTCTTTATTAAAATAACTGRGACAGTTATATTTTTTAGTATTATTAGTATTAAAACTTACTAGCATTTGATTCTTACCGTTAGAAAGCTCCTTGAAGTTTACAAGGTAATTATACCTATTTAAATGGATTACTGAATCACCACCTTCCAGGCTAGTATGTAAGTAATTTCTCAACACATTGGAACTCTCTTCTGGAAATCATTCCTTGTTTTTGTGTGGTGCCAGCACAGCTCTGTTAGGAGATTCATGAACCTTATTGCGTGCTGTGTCTGCATTATTAGCTGATGGAGCAGGGAGAGAAATTAAAACAGACCCCTCAAAATTCTGGACAGCTGGGATCYKGGGAAAGTCATAGRAAATGCTGAGTTRGAAGGGACCCATCAGGATCATTGAATCCARCTCCTGAKGAGGAGCGTTCCCACTGGCTGTGCATCCCTACGGTGCTGAGAAGCAACAAGAGGCAGAAAGGTTTGTCCAGGGCAGCCTGGCTGTAACTCACCCCACCGACACCACCAGCGAGCCACTTTCCTCYGCGATGTACTGGCAGATCTTTTCATGGGAATCTGAAACACATCGAARGATGTTTTGCTGCCCACAAACCCTCCAGAACTCCTCTCCCCCTGCTCACCGCTTCACCTTGCAGCACTGGATGGATTGTAGCCTTCCAGCTGTTGGAAATTATATAACTTTTCAAATTAATMTTTAATTAATTGTTTTAATTAATCRTAAYCASTWTATTAATTRTAAGCCATGTGCTAGTGTTAAATCACTTYTAAGAAKCTAAGTTTSTTTACACAKAAACACTGTTGTTGGCTTGATKGGGAAAATTCACKGAAACTTTTGCTGAACTAACCCTGMTATGTTCCAATGAACAAGACCTGGGAGAGGGTGTGTATTATTGAAACTGGATACAAGAAGGGCAGAATTTATGGACTACAAGGACATTCTGCAGAAACCAGAAGATAAAGAAGCAGCTAACAAAAGAATCAGTATATGTGCCGGAAAGTCCCTACCAGAGGGAAAAATACACTAAAAAGTCTAAAAGAGGACAGAATGCCAATTTATGAAAGACACGTAATTTAGAACCAATGGACATTAATTTCTTTGTTTGCTAAAAACGTATAAACAGGTAAAAAGAGTTTTGTATAAGCTTGTGTGTGGAGGCCAGAGTTCTGACAGACAGACAGACACAGATACACAGCGGCCAAGAATAAAGCACCGCCTGACTCGCTAAGGCTATAGAGGCAGTTGCAGGGGCTGGGGGCAGAGGGGCCCGGGGTCTTACCGAGGCTGCAGCAGATCCAGCCGCCCCCATGGAAGAAGACGACGGCGGGGCGCGGGCTCGCAGGCGGCGAGCGGGGCCGGTACAGGCGCACGGGCACCGGGCCGAACCGCGTGTCCTCCTGCAGCACCCCCGGCTTCGGGTCCGGCCGCCGCCCCGAGAACACGAGGCGCTTGATGGTCAGGCTGCTGCACAGCTCTATCTTCTCGAAAATTCTGCCCTGTGGGGTGAGGGAGGACAGCCGGGGTGAG